TCCTCTTCAGAGTATGCAGGTCAAAGGTTGGTTGGCTTGTATTTGAGCATACTCTGCAATAGCTGGTGTCTGTGGGATACCCTCTGTAAGCCCCTTTTTGGGGAATAATACCTGTGCATAGGTGTGGCGGTTCTCTGCTGGCTGGATGGGGTTAGCCTCAAGTAATGCCTTCTATGGTTCCCTGGATCTGACAGGAAATTTAGTTAACTGGCAATTCTGGGACTCACAACTGTGGAATCTCCTAAAGATGCAGGGTATTGCTACTTCCCTGATTGCTATGGATATATCACCAGTCAGTGCTTCTTATACAGCCTACAAGCCCAAGACTGCATACTGGGAAGGTGCTGCATCTGGTATTTGTGTCGGGTACAGGAGCACAGTGTGCAGGGCTCAGAGAGGTCCCTGAATTCTTTGGAATGCTGAATACCTGTTCTTCTTTGCAGGAAATTCTTGATAATGGCAAAGGGCTTGGTGGCTGTAATTGTGAGACCTGTGAATTCAGACTCTGTGGATGTTCTGTGGCACAGAAGCCTCCAACCTAAATTCTGTAAATTATGAGGACACTGTCTGACTGGGAAAATGTCTGTTAGTCTACTTTTGTCTAAGCATCTATGGCCAGCAGTTGAGCACCATTGAGGGCCTGCTCCCACACACTGGGGCTTCTTTCTAGTAATGTCTAAGCCCTTGGTGGTTATCTGCAACCAAGGGACATATTGGTGCAGATTCTCTGTGGGCAGGCTGTGAAAGAGATGCTTCCACCCCGACTGGTGTGTATCTCATGGGGCTTTTATCCCTCTTCATGAAGGTAGTGTATCAGTTGCTCCATTTTCACCTGAGCACCTGTTGGGACTGTGAGGAGTCCTGGGTCAGGATGATTACACTTTGGGAGTGATTAGCTCTTGCATCAACTCCATCCTCCTTCCTATTCCTCTTGTCTGAGGTGAAGGGTACAGGTTTATCGCAACTTCAGTCAACAGTGGTCCTCTCAGTGATTACTGAGTCAACTTAGTTCGGAGCTATTCCCTCTGGTTTTATTTGCTACTATCTGAAAGTGGAAAGAACCTGTGTTCATTTAGTTTCTTGTAGGGAGGATGTGACTGTCTGATGGGCATAGCTTTCATCCCACAATTTGGGCTGAACTGCAGGATCTCCTAAACTGTCTTTGCTGCTCCTGTCCCATGTTAACTTGGTCAGCTTTTCTAGCTGTTGTGAAGGAAGTAAGTTTACGGTATTTTCCTCTCCCTCTTTCTCACTCTGTTACCCTTTCTCCCTGATACCACCCTAGTTCAGAGTTAAGGAATTCCATCCTTATTTTCTGTTAAATTAATTGAATTCCAAATGTCTTGAAGTCTCAAGGTGTCCAATATTGAGTTTTAGATTATTTATTCTCTCACTCACCTTTCAGTCAACTGTTCTTCTACGACTTCATTTTTGGGTTGTGAAGAAGCCCAGGGATGCTGCCTGGATCTGCTATCCCACATTCCTGCTTCCTCTCGTAGGTTAATTTTCAATATTAAAATTTTTCTACTTGTACTTCATTATTGGGAAAAGATAGGATCAGCAGTGTCAAATTTTTTAAAATATATAATCTGTCCTTCCAACACAACTTGTCAATTAATGTCTTTCCTCCAGTGATCCACAATGGAAAACCACTTTTATCTACAGTGAATAGGACTCCCCTTCTGGATATCAGTTTTGGTTCTCTTGATGTATCTGGATACTTGAATAATACCAGCCATAGTTTTATATTTTATTCTAACATTTGAAGTTTTTTAGCTCATTTTTTAAACTTTTCATTTTAAAATAATATATATTTGTCAAAAGTTGCAAAGATCATATGGAAGTGTTCTGTTGACCCAATTTCCACAAATGATTAGCTCTTACACAAATATACATAAATGCCAAAGGAAGGAATTTGACCTTGACACAATAGTGATTAATTAACTCTCATCATAGGTGTGGCACATGTATGAAAACATAAACTGACCGACACATATACCATTTATGGTAACTCTTGAAATAAATATTATATTTTTAGAATGTTAGTATTCTATGAAAAACTAAGAAAATTGGTGTTATATGATTTTTGTGGATCCGTTTTTTATTGTTCTAGAACAATTGACGAGTCAGTCTTCACATGTTTAGTTTTTTAGACACTGATACACTGTTTTCCAGAGTTGCTGTATCATTTTATATCACCAACAGCATTTTCCCCAAGTCTCAAGAATTTGATATTGTTACCATATCTATTTTAGTTTTTTTGATAGCCTTGCAATTTTATCTTTTTCTTCTGTAGCTATCAATCATAACTAATGAATTCAAGAGAAGAAAAATTTATCACATCTACTTTCTCTTCTCCTTCCATGTCTCCCAAGACCCCAATATTAGGTCTTTTGCTACAGTTCCACAGGTCTTTGAGTTTTGTGCATTTTAAAGTCTATTTTTAGTCCATTTCTCTTCAGTTGTTCCCATTTAGTAATATATAATGTTCTGTGTTCAAGTTCAGGATGATTTTCTTAGCTCCCCTTCATCCTACCACTGAGCCACATACTTGAACTTTTATTTCATTCATTGTGTGCTTCAGTTCAACAATTTCCATTTGGTTCTTTTTTCCCCTCATTGGACAAGACTAAATTATCTTAAGTTAAGATTATGTTTAATCACAGAAAACCAAAATTGATAGAGAAAAATAAATTGATTTTTAAAAAATTTATATATTTGTTTTAATTATTAATAAATGACAGTAGAATGCATTTATGCACTTTGATATATCATACATAAATGGGTTATAATTTCTCATTTTTCTGATTGTACATGTTGTAGAACAAACTGGTCATGCAGTCATATATGTATATAAGGAAATAATGTCTCTTTCATTCTACTATCCATCCTATCCCCATATCCCCTCTCCTCCCTTCACTCCCCCTTACCTAATCTAAAGTACCTCTCTTCTTCCCTAGTGCCTCTCCACTTATTATGAATTTTATTATGAATTTTAGCATCTGAGTATCACAGAAAACATTCAGATTTTGGTTTTGGGATTTGGCTTATTTGGATTAGCATGATATTCTCTAACTCCTTCCATTTACTGGCAAATGCCATAATTTCATTCTTCTTTTAAACTGAGTAATATCCATCCAATATATATACCACATTTTCTTTATCTATTCCTCTATTGAAGGGCACCTAGGTTGGTTCCATAATTTAGCTATTGTGACTTGAGCTGTTATAAACATTGACATGCCTGTGTCACTGTAGTATGCTATTTTTAAGTCCTTTGGTTATAAACCAAAGAATGGGATAGCTGGGTCAATGGTGGTTCCATTCCAAGTTTTCTGAGGAATCTCCATACTGCTTTCCAAAGTGACTGAACCAATGTGCAGTCCCACCAGCAATGTACACATGTACCTTTTCCCCCCACATCCTCACCAACATCTATTGTTGCCTACACCAATACTCCTCAAAGTATTCCATTTGGTTCCCATTTACATCTTCTTTGCTAAGACTATGCTTCATTTTAAAATTCAATTTAAGTTTGTCTATAATTTGTCAATGAAATTTTCTTATGATGACTGCTAGCAGCTTTGAAATCCTTGCCAGATAATTCCCACATCACTTTAATCTCAGTGTTGGTACTTGATGATTGTCTTTCTGAGTGAAGTTTGGGATCTTTATAGATTATAGTATTGACAGAGTTTTGATTAAAATCTGGCAATTTTAAGAATTAAATGATGAAACTTCAGAACTTATTCAAATCATTTGTTCTTGTATTTGTTCTTGTAATGAGAAAAGGTCGGCACTCACTCGTTATTGACAGGAAGGTGTGAAGGCACACTGTCTGTCCGTATCTGGGACTCTGGTCAGGAGTTCCTTGCTTCTACACACTGGGCCTAAAGTCCTGAGGCGCCATTTTGTCCAGTGATAGTTGCACAATAAGAATGGAGAGGACTGCCTTTTTATTCTATTAAAGCTGGAATTCCAGGCTCCCACATGAGCTCCATGGACATTCTCATGACCTTGAGTGACACATACACTCCACTGCCAATGTGACCTTCATTGACACATGAGCCCAAGGACACTGTGACTCCCCTGGCACACGAGATCCACAAACACTGATGTATGGGCTCATGGTAACACTATCATGATCTTCACTGACACTACAGGCACCCAGAGCTCTGACATTGGTGTCCATCCTCCATGTAGCCATGGCACCCACCACCTCTGCCCTGAGGTTATTGAGGTCTCCTTGCTAGATCCCTTCTTTTGGGTTTCATTGTATGATAGTATTTAATCTTGAACTCAAAGCCACATCTTGAAATTATTCACTTCCTGGCTATCTTTCATGTACATAAGAAACAAATAGTGTTAATAAAATTTGGTTGTTTTTCTCTTGTTAATCTGTTTTTTTTGTTAGAAGGGTCTGGCCCAACTAAGAATTCAAAATGATATAGAAAAAAAAATTGATTCCTACAATCACTTCCCTTTGCATCTTCATTCCATTTTTCTCGCTTTTCTTATTCTTCAATGTTCTTTTAGTTTTACTCTGTAATATAATAAATGACAATTGCAATTTAAACTGTAATTACAATTGTTTCTTAATCACTAATTATAATAGTGATTTTAATTTTTCCTGTATCTTGGGTTCACTTTGTTTCATATCTTTCATTACATCTCTAAAATACCCTTATCTTTCTATTTGTGATTTTTGATTCTGTTTTATTGAGGCTATAATTTCTTTCTTTTGAAAAATATTCATACAACTATATTTGGTCAAAATTTATCTGCTCTTTGGTCATTTTTGTTATTGCTGGATATTTTTCAACACATACTTTATGCACCAATAGTCTTTTATTTCTCAGACTATTTCAGATTTTCCTTCTACTCAAGAGTTTTGTTTTTGAAGTGAATCAAGAATTATATGCTCTGGACAAATTGAAATTGGCCATTTGTGTTAGACAAGTTTCCATTAACAGAACAAAATACCTAAGATGATCAATATATAAAGAAGAAAGGTTTATACTGGGCAAAAGATTTGAAGGTTTCAGTCCATTATCACTTGGCCCCATTACTTCTGGGCCTGTGGAGAGTCAGCACATCATGGAGAAGAGTTTGTGGTGGAGCAAAGTTGTTTATCTCATGGTGTCTGGGAAGCAAAGAAAGAAAGAAAAAGAGATCATTGTCCACAACTCCCTTTGAGGGCATGCCCCCAAATAATCTTAGACTTACCATTAGGCCCTACAACATCCTTCAATAATGCCATAGACTGGAGACCAAGACATCGTCTCATGAGCCACTGGGAGACATTGTAGATCCAGACTATTGTACCTTCCTGTTAGGTTTAAGAATACGTGTGTGAGTCCTTTAAGTCACATTCTCTCATTGCATCTTGAAACTGTTAATGGAGGATTATTTGCAGTACAAAGTGTGTCTTCCCTCCCCATGTTTTATAGACATGTTGTTCTTCAAAATATGATTTTTCTGTGTCATTTTTCATTTTCTCATTTCCCTGTTTTGTGAGACTCTACAATAAATCAGAGCAAGGGAAGTGTTCCTCACCTGTCTCAAACTTGTTACCATTAGGGTTGATTTTTAATATCATTTCCTGTACATTGGGACCACCCTTTCACTTTTTCTGAAAACATATAAAGAAGAAAAGTGATCATATAATGAAGAAAGATGATCATAGACATCTTCTCTGAGTGTCTTCATATGTCTGTATTTTATTTTCACTCTTTGCTTTATATATTGTGGCTAAGATTTTTTACAATTTTTCTAAAGATAAACTATTGAGTTCTGTTTTTTGTTCTCTTGGTTATGTTAGATGAGTTAATAGGAGAAGTAATGCAAGATCATGATTTGATACTGCCATATTAAAACTGACATTCTAATCCTAACTTGAATTAACTTCACATACTAACTAGAGAAAAAAATAATTGATTTTAGAATTTGCAATAAACATATGCAATATAACCACACTACAATGTGTGCTTTGTATTTAATTTTCTACAGAATTAATTTTTGCTTAAAATATTTTGCTAGATCTCAAGGCATCAATGACAATTACTTATATAACATCATTTATAAGATAGAGTTTAAAGCTTTAACTGGACATCAAGCCTTATGTGAAGATAAAACATATAAATTTAAACCTATGCTACAATTTAGCTCTGGAACTATGAATTTAATCTTCATGTGTTGAAATCTCACCCTTGACACTCACTATCTGTGTGACAAGGGACAATTTACTGAACTTTAAGTCTCACTTTTCTAATTTCTAAGTAGGAATAATTTGTTAAAAAATTATTTGATTTTATTTTGATGATGTTATGAAATAAAACTTCTAATAGTTACTGGCATGTAATAAGTGCTGAATGAATATTAGTTGTTTTATAGTTAGCTCTTCTAGAGTACATAGAATATATACATATGAATCAATGTTCTAAACAAGTCATTACTAGTGATTAACAAGTGATTAAATAAATTTTTTAGCAATGGAGTTTTATAATTAAAAACAAAGTTTCTGATTTCTCAAAATTCCATAAATAATCTGAATGTTTTAAGGAAAGTGATGGTACTTTACTTGCAGAGGGATTTCTCATATTTCCTTTGTTCTTCATAGTAACTCAATGAGATATACAGATCAGATTGGAAGAGCAATAGTAGGAATAGCAATAGATTTCTACATATTATCTATTTCAAACATCAGACAGTGATGTGTTGTCACCAACACGACAATGACCTTGGAGTCATTTTGGCAGAGTGAAGGGTATTCTGGATGCAGAAAGACCTGGCCTGGCTTTATCAATTATAAATGGTGTGATTACTAGAAGTTACTGAATGTTGTAAACTCTGTATTATATTATAATTTTATAATGATAACAATACTATTCTGCCCCATAGATCTGTTCTGGGAATTAATTTCTAGTCACTTCCCCCTCACTGACACTATTAAGGTCCAAAGCAAGCATGTTTAGATAATTTTTTTTTTCTTTTCTGATTCTAAGACTAGAGAAGATAAAATTGAAAGAATTTAGGGTTAATAAGACACTAGTAGAAGAGAATTTTAGAATGGTTCCATATTTCTTTAAATGTATCAGTAATATATGCTGTTTGCTTCCCAAGGACCATGTCTAATTCATTACCTTCTGTCAATTTCTGGCAGAGAGTTTGGCTGTATGCCATGCATGTTTGCTGAGTAAATACATTTTTATGTTAAGGCCAAGGTTAGTTCAATGCCATGAGAAGGTAAGTGAAACAATACTGTCTGGTTCTCCTACATCAGTGCTATGCGTGGTAGTGTATGGTGCTTACAACTCTTACTAGGGACTATGTGTTGGTTATGCCTATGTCTAGAGGTATAGAAAAAGGAAAGTTTCTGCACTAGGTTCTAGGTCTGTCTTAACAAATTAACACAAACTCGATTCCTTAAAATAATAGGCATCTTTTCTCTCCCAGTTCTAGTTCCACATAGGACTAAGGTCAAGAGACAGCAGGCTTGTATTCCTGCTGTAGGATATAGGGAAGTGTGAATCTGCTCATCCTTTCCAGCTTCTAGAAGCTTCCTGCATTCCCTGTCCATGGCCACTGTCCATGGTAACATTCTGAGCCCCTCTTCTGTTATCTCCCTCCACTTTGAAAGACTCATGATTACGTTACAACCACTTAAATAACCCAGGAAAATTTTGTCTTTTCTAGGTGTATCTTAATTGTATCTGCAGAGTTCCTCTTTGCTCTCTAAAATAGCATATTCACTTGGTCCAGGGCATAGGATGTGGACATGGTAGGGGTCACATTACTCTGCCTACCACAAAACATTTCTGGCTCAGACAATTTACATTAGAATACAGCCCAGGTGCAAGACTAAGACATGTTCCTGCTCATCAGGATAAAAGACAAGCCTCCGTCCCTGTGCCTCTGGAAGATCTCAATTATTTATTCTTTTTTATTTATTTATTTATTTATTTATTTATTTATTTATTTATTTATTTTATTGGTTGTTCAAAAAATTACAAAGCTCATGATATATCATCTTTCATACATTTGACTCTCATACATTTGAACTCCCATTTTTACCCCACATACAAATTGCAGAATCACATCGATTACACACTCGCATTTTTACATAATGGTATATACCAAAGCATCTTTGATCAAGCTTTGAATTTCCTCACACACTGAGGAGTCCATGTGTGTGGCACTTGGCACATTTTAATTGTTTTTCTTCTTCCAGGTGATCCGGACTTACAAAATGGTTAATGCATAAAAAAGAAAACAACAACAAAAAACTCTTGAGGCAATTATCAATTTACAGTGGTTTCTAGTACTGTTATAGATTCAGAAGAACAGGGATGTTTTTGGGAAAATAACTGCATTTTAAGGCACATTTCTCTGGTAGCCCAGTAAAGTCTCCCGTGGAGCTCTGGACGGCTCCTCCATTGAAGAATGCCAATTGCTAGCCTTGCTTTGGTGAGCTCCTTCTCAGCTTGCCTTTCCCTTAGAGAACAAAGATCTCTTACATGGGATGCCACCGTGAGCTATTGGAGTGGTCTTTCACTGGGTACCGAGCCTTGGAGACTTAGATATTTTTCCATGAGAACAATCCCAGCTTTCCCAAGCGGATCAGACTGTCCATGGGGTGAGATCTCTGTCTTGGCTCCACTAGTGAGATAGCTCTCATAGCTCCGGAGGTGGGTGTAACCCATTTGGAACTGGACAGCCCAACTCCTACTTTATTTGGCAAAGAACATTCCATGGAAAACCTTTGATATTCCCCCATATACATAAAGCGATTCAGGGCTCTCTCTGTCTTTTCCCATTGTGCAGGCTGGATCCCTAGGAGCAGAAAGCCATCCTATCCCAGTTTTCTAAATGACTTCCTGTGTCCTGTAGTGTCTTTGCCATTTTCTCTTTCTTAGCATTTATTCCACATCCAGCCCATCTCTGCCAGAGGAACCCCGGATTCCATCACCTGCGTGGGATGCGGGAGGGACTCTTATTCATGAGAATTCAAACAAACAGGATGCAAGCAATTTAAGGGCCCCTTTGTGGAGCATAAGAGCCAGTGCTAGCCTCTCTGCAGGAGAATGTACCTGGAAGAACAAATCTGAAATAAGCAGTTTGCATTAGACCCTTTCAACTCTTTCTACTCTTGTTTTTAATTCTGTGTATGTGTGTGCATTTATAAATGCATTTCACTACCCATCTAACCCTCATTCTTTCTCTCCTTCTGTCTCTCTCCCCCTCTCCTCTCTGTCTCTCTCTCATACACACACTCCTACACAAATACCCCCCCCACACACACACAGAGTCGTTCTCCGTCAATGTTTAAAAACAGTGTTTTGTTTTGTGATTTATAAAAGAAACTTTAGGTTCAAATCCCTATTGAATGTGTCATTTTTTCCCTTAATTTTAGGATGAGCTGCAAGAATTCAGGAATATTGGAGCTTTAATTAGTTTTGTTACTAACAGTAAATTCTAATACAGTAAATATATATATGTTTATATGTATTAGAATTCTGTATTACATATCCATATGTATATTATACTTATATATCTCTGAGTATATTTTATATCTATATGTATGTACTTATTATCTATCTTCTATCTCCCTCTCCTATCTATTTTTTGTTTGTTCAGCACCAGAGAATAAAAGAGCAGGAGTAAACAAATCTACTTTCTAGGAACAATTAGTCCAAAATCGGTCCATCAAAACCAATTTAGTCCTTTGAGATAAATTGGCTTAGTTGGATCCATAGCTCCCCGTTGTCAAAGAAAGTTAAAAATCCAATTCTAGATAATCTTAAATGGGTGTCAATATGATTTTCAAATGAAGTAAGTGTACTTCTGGTGGTGATGGTAGGTAGGGGCGAGTCATGATGTCCAGACAGCTTTGGACTGGACCAAACTGTGATCTGCTATAATCTGAATCATCTTTGAAATCGTTAAGTAGAATTTATGGAAAGCCATTGATTTGGACTGAGCTGCCACAGGAGGCACCACCCTGACAAAGCCAAAACAGAGTCACTTGGTAAATGATAAGGGATTAACTGAAACAGAAGAAACAGAAAATCTCCAAACCAGAGACTCACAGAAGCCCATCAAAAGGGACCAGGCAACCTGAGAAGACAGAGAAGCCCCTCTGCTGACCACACACAAGGAGAGGAACCTGATAATAACAAGTCTGCCCCTTGTGTGATGCTGCTTCTGTGTCCCTTCCATGGGTGTCCTTATAAAAGCCATCACACTGCCACACCTGTGGAGTGCTCTTCCATTTCATACACTGGATCCTTGCAAGTTTAAGAAGACCACCAAAAGCCAGTTAGAACTGGAAGAG